CTCTGCCTCCCGAGTGCTGGGATTAAAGGCGTGCGCCACCAACGCCCGGCTGAAATTTTTACCACGTAACTTTTTGTAACTTTTCCCACTGGGTTCCCTGAATCTGAGATCTGGGCTGTGATATTTACTATTATTTTTCCCTGTGGTATCACCCCAAGAACCTGTAATAACATCTCCGCTGGGTATGTAAAAATCTCGATGAACTCATATTTCTCACCAAGTTGGAGTTTGGTGCAATGGTCTGAACAGATAACAATCTGGACTGAATGGGCATTAGTCTTTCTCCCCAGGAAATGCTAACAGAACATATTTTCAGTTATATTTGGTTCCAGAATAAAGAATCTCATTTCCTTTCAGTTCAGAACAGTGTTTCTTATATGACTCCAACTGTCATGTCACAGAAACTTTGACCTATATTGAAATAATGACCTGAGTCAATTACACTCACTCAGCAGAAAGGATGTATTTGATTAGTGGATATGTGATCAATAAGTATGAAACACTGTAGATGCAGGTCTTACTTTATAGTTGATACAGATCCAAAAAAGTTATCTCAATCTCATGTTTACTAACTTACTGTAAACTGTTAATGTAGGGTAAATAATACCTAAACAGTAATAATAACTGACTTCCAAGTGATTAAATATCTCTACTGTGCCCAGAATTGAGTTTCTAGTTATGCTAAGTTGTGGTGATATTTTGTGGGTGCACTAACAAATAAAGCTTGCCTGAAGGTCAGAGGGCAAAACCAGCCACTAGTTAGTCATAGAGGCCAGGCAGTGGTGGCACACACCTTTAATCCCAGCACTTGGGATCTCCTGCCTTTGATCCCAGTACTTGGGAGGTACACATACCTTTAATCCCAGCACAAGGAAGGTTGAGACAGGAAGTGATATGGCTGGGTGGATAAAGGAATATAAGGTGGGATGAGACAAGAGCTCAGTCTTTTTGGCTGAGGAATTGGTGAGGTGAGAGATAGCTGTGGCTTGTTCCTTTGTCTTTCTGATCTTTCAGCATTTACCCCAACATCTGGCTCTGGGTTTTTAGTAAGACCAATTAGGATCCATGCTACATCTGGTTCCCCAATATAGTATTACTGTAATAAGGTTAAAACCTTCCTTTTTAATTAGACAAAAAAGGGGAAATGCTGTGGGATAATGCTCTTGTACACTGTAAAGATGAGTCACTCAAAATAAGTTAATAAAATGCTGATTGGCCAGTAGCCGGGCAGGAAGTATAGACAGGAGGAACAGAGTAGTAGAATTCTGGGAAGAGGAAGGGCAGAGTCAGGAGTTGCCAGCCACATGCAGAGGAAGCACTATGAGAATGTCAAATTGAGAAAAGGTACCAAACCACATGACTAAACATAGATAAGAATTATGGGTTAATTTAAGTGTAAGAGCTAGTTAGTAATAAGCCTGAGCTAATGGCCCACCATTTATACATAATAATAAGCCTGTGCATCAATTATTTGGGAAGCAGCTACTGCATATTTGAAAACAGACAGACAGGGGAGAAACATTCCACCTACATGGTGCCCAAACATTTGGCAAGGATTTCCACATAAAACCTGAGAAACCTTAAAAAAAGGATTCTCAAGCCCAGAAAAACAGAGTCAAACTTGGCTTCTTGGTAACTGTCTTTTCTCTGGTGTGCTCCATTGGCTGTTGGGGAGCAGAGGCACAGCTCCTTTAAGGGATGATTTCCTGACTCAACGTTAGCAGGAAAAACCATGCTGCTCTTTTAAGAGGCCCTGCTGCCCAACACTTATATGGTGTTGATGAGCAGCAGGCAGCATGCTACTCAGTGGTCTGGACCTGAGACCTCCCCAGAGTTGGGGGTGATACACATGACTCCTGCCAGTACCTCCACCATGAAGTCAGACTCTCAGGAAAGTAAGGAGCCCGCCACTTTAATCCTAGCCACACCTGCTTAAGAGATTAAACACACATATGGTAAGAAAAAGATAGCGATATATAGTAAAGACAGATTCAGGAAAGAAAAAAAAAGACAACAACCTCTATAAACAGTTCACATTGTGTTTAAAAATATACATAGGCTTGGGAGAAAAAGAGAAGGTATAGACAGTCATAAAAAAGAAATACATAGTTTTAAAATAATAAAGCATAGTACTTAAAAAAGAAATAAATGTAATATTAAAAATGCCTTGTAGAGACAGAAAATACATAGGGAGTCTGGATCCTATGTGTTATTGTATTGATTTTGAATTTTTTAATGTCTGATGGGCAAGAGACAGCCACTGGAAGACATGGAATTAAAAAGAGGGACTGATGAAATATACCAACCTAGATATTTTAAGAATTTCTTAACTTTAAAAATAAAGTCAAAAAATGTATTTTTCAAATGGAAAAAAAGTGCTTGGAGAAGAGGTTTTGCTTTTGTTTCCATGGGAAACAAGAAGCTGTGGATTCAGTCCAGGTTAATATGGATCAGATTTGGTCAATAAACAACTCCTGAAACTTGGCAGATGATATCAACCAAGGTTACTGGTCTTCCTGGGACTTGGTCATTATCTCAAAATTTTCCAGGGACCCTGGGGATGCCTTTGCCCACAGACATCTGGAAGCAGTATGGAGAAAACTATGCCCCCATTCCCAGGAGTTGGGGGGTGTGGGTGGTATTCAGTTATTTGGTGGGTTATTAGTGTTTGTTATAGTTTAGGGAAATATAAAAGTATAGGATTAAGCCAGGCGGTGGTGGCACATGCCTTTAATCCCAGCACTCAGGAGGCAGAGCCAGGCGGATCTCTGTGAGTTCAAGGCCAGCCTGGTCTCCAAAGCGAGTTCCAGGAAAGGCGCAAAGCTACACAAAGAGAACCTGTTTCAGAAAAAAAAGTATAGGATTAAAAAAACTATTAATCTTATATATTTTACATTAGTATGGATCTTTGTTTATTGACACAAATTTAAAGTTAATCTTGCCATATCTTATGTATATTTCTACTCTGTTTATTGTATTGTGCTTATGCAGCTCATTTAAAATGTATTATATAATTAAGAAATACAAATTAATAGTCATCCATAATAGCGATCTTATAGTCATATTAGTTAGGTTTTCTAGGTATACACAGATATATTTCAAATAGATAGGTAATCTTCAAACACTTCAAAGACCTACAGAATATGGCATTTAATAGGTTTAATAACCTGAGGCTTTTGATGACATTGAAACACGTCTTCTCCTGGCAGCATCAATCTACTTCAGAGAAGATGATGGGCATCGAAGAAACTCCATTTGGAGTTTACTTTCTTTGTTGCAAATTTTAACCACTGGGCAAAAAAAGTGTCCTTGCCTCAACTGTTGACAGTATACTGTCCAAATTGGATGAGCAAGACACAAAAGGAAGTGACTGCCAAGCTTTGCCACAACAAGGTAGGACAGTCCTTCAGAAAATCCTGCTTCACAGGTGAGTCCTTCAGATATTCTAGGTCTGTAGGCTGAAGATGATGCCCCAACATTGCAGAGAGACTTTGGGTGACTGTCTAGACAGCCAGCTGTTTCTGTCATTTCTCACAATTTTTGTAAGTCACTTGCTTGCAATTCCTGCTTACTAGGTTAATATTATTTTTTTCTTGGGTCTCTGATGGAGTTGAAGACTAGGTAGTTGTAGTTATAGGTTTCCTTGTTAACAAATTTGGAAAAGAAACTCACTAAAGAGGTGTAAAGTGTATAAGTTTGAAAGACATCAAAACAGTTTTTGGTTGTTAATACAAGTTAGGATAGAAAGTGAATTAGGTACAATGCTTTGGACTGACCAAAGTGGGAGAAATAATGGAGTATTTTCTCTGAGTGTGTCAAATGTTAATGGACTAGACAGTATTGATGTAATTACTGCTTGTGTGTATTGTACATACTTATTGTATGTGTTGTATACAGTTTTTCTTATATTAGTTATAACCTTATTTTATTATTTTAGACCAAAAAGGGTAAAGGTAGTGACATTTTGTGTATACTCTAACAAATAAAGCTTGCCTGAAGATCAGAGGGCAAAACCAGCCACTAGTTAGCCATAGAGGCCAGGCAGTGGTAGCACACACCTTTAATTCCAACACTTGAGATCTCATGCTTTTGACCCCAGTACTTGGGAGGCACATGCCTTTAATCCCAGCACTAGGCAGATTGAGACAGGAAGTGATATGGCTGAGTAGAGGAAGGAATATAAGGTGGGAGGAGACAGGAGCTCAGTCTTTTTGGTTGAGGAGTTGGTGAGGTGAGAGGTGGCTGTGGCCTGTTCCTTTGTTTCATCTTTCTGCACTTACCCTGACATCTGGCTCCAGGATTTTATTAAGACAAATTTGGATTCATTCTACACCAAGTACAAATGAAATGTATTTACAGAGACAAGATGGGAAGGAGAAGCCAATTTATAATCTGTATATGCTACTGA